TCACAAGGAACAGTTATTTGTGACCACAGGTACTGGCATCTGCGCTGCACGGAACTGGATTTCGCTGAGGTTCGTGACTACTCACAGCTCTTGTGACCGTGCTTCAGGTAGCAGCGGTAATTTTGAACCAGCTGGGTGAGGATCACTGGAGTCCCAAATTCCAGGACTGTTGGAGCGTGAGCTCCGCACAACCGATGCTACGTGTCTGTCTGCTCCTGAGGGATCCCAAACCCCAGGGGGATCCCAAACCCCAGCGGTGGGGTTTGTGCAGCTGGGTGCGAAGGGGGAAGCGGGAGAGAGCTCGTGAAGCGGAGCGGCCAAACGGGCGCTCTCAGCCTGGTGAGGACGGAGCCTTCACAGGGCGTTACCAGCCGTCTGTCTGTCTGTCCGTGCTGAAGAACGGAGAGTGGAGCCTGCCCTTGGAGACAAACAGCGAGGCAGAGCGGGACTCAGCTGGGTGCCCAAAGCCAAACTGGTGAAGAGTCTCCTGGGGCAGCAGAACCCCAAACCATCGGTCGCAGAAGCTGGACGTTCCTGCTTGTGGAAACCAGGAGCTGTAAGAAGCCATTTCCTCGTGTGGAATCTGCCCAGGAGAAATCTGGGATGTGGGAGACAGGGCGGCTGGCTTCATTTTCGTGCTTGTTTACTAGTAAACATGGATCAGATGTCATCTCTCTCCGTTGGCAGCAGGGTGGCCAAACAGAACCCAAGCTGCCCTCGCTGCCTGCGGCTGACTGAGCCTCGGTCGGGCTCGTGTTGTCAGGTTGAAGGGACGAGGGGCAAAGCTTGACTTGCCCACCGCCCTCCGAGAAATGGCTCGCTGCCCTGGATCTGTGTCGCTGGGCCGGCGGCTTACTGAGGTTGCGTTGGGTACGTTCTGAAACCGTTTTAATTCTTCAAGTGCCATGAAAGAGGGGCATGCTGGATATGTGGAGTTGTTCATAACAAACTTTTATTGGTTCAGGTGCTGTGCAAGCATTTGGTGCTCTCTGGAGGAGTGGATTACGAGTCCCAGTTCTTCCGCAGGAGATGGCTGCAGATGATTTGCGTTCTCTGTTTCTGTAACAAGTTTCTTTTTCTTCCACAGAAGCGTCACCCGTCAAGAACAGGCCAAAACCAGAACTGGTGGCAGCGTCTTAACTCCTGCTTCTGGGGATTCCCCCACATAACTTTCACCCAGGACAGTTTGCCATCCCAGCGTGTGCTGGGAACAAGCAATGCCTCAGCAGCATCCCAGCTGTGCTGGGCCGATCGTGGAGCAGGATTCCCTGTGCAGGGTGGGGAACCTCAGCTGATTATTGCTCTTGTATCAAGATTATTTTCTAGTGCTTTCTTTTTTTGTAACTTAAATTCTGAACTCACTCAGCTGCGCTGTCTCGGGATTAAACAACAACTCCAAAACTTCCGAAGCCAAATGCTTTCTTTAGGTTTGATTTCAGTGGCAAATCTGCCTTTGCTCGGACGGAATCCCCAGGAAGCCCCACCCTGGGAGCCGTCCTGTGTTTGAACCGCCTGTCCTGGACGTGGGCTGGGTGAGAACGAGCCACTGCCCTCGGGAGCCCCCCGGGCTGTGCTGGTGTCTGCACTCCTCTCATCCCTTTGCTTTTCCTCTTCTGATTCTGTCTGTGGAAGGGCTGCCGGTGTCTCTTGTCCTCGTGTGAATCGGACTGGCCGGCGTGTGCGAGGCTGCGACGGGGCCCGGGCGGTGCAGGCAGCCTGGAAGAAGGCAGCAAGCCCGAGCTCCCGCAGGCAGCACCGCTTTGTGCTAGGGGTTGCAAACGGTTCCGTCAGCCTTGTGTGAAACCAGCTGACGCGCCGGGGTGTTCCATGCGAGCAAAGTTCAGCGCGATTGCGTGGCTTGGCGTTGCTGGCAGCGGCGCCGGTTAGGGGAGAAGCCCGCTCGCCCTGCGAGGCGGAGAGCTGGCCTTTGGCTGGGCGTGAGGCGGGGGCGGTCAGTGACGATTCCCCTTCAGATCCCGCTCTGCCTGCCTGCCTCCGGTAACCCATGGTGCTGGGGTGACAGAAATCTGATCAGCCTCTTAAAATTACAGCAAGGAGTCTTCTGCCTGCGTTACGAGCCGGGCGTCCTCCCTTGTTGGCTCTGCACCAGCATCAGAGTTCACCCTTGCAGCGTTCAGATGGGCTGAGATTGATTCTGCCTCCAGTTGCCAGCTCGTGTTTGGTATTTTCTCATAGGGTTGGAGACAGGAAAGGTCAGGCTGGGGTAAACGTGAGGCTCGTTCTGTAGCAGACGTGAGGCCTGAAGCTTCTTAAATCAACCCCCCACAGACTGTGCTCCCTCAGTAGAGGGGAGCCCGGTTCCCTCCAAGCCTGCGCTGTGGGGGACGGGCTGGTGCTCAGCGTGCTGTAGCGGGGCGCTCAGGCCGGCGGGGATGATGAAGTGTTTGGAGAGCTGCCTGGCCAGCCAGGTGGCGGGCAGATTTAGCTGTTCTTGGAAGCAAGCTTACTTGCCAGCTTGCAGATGCTCTTCAGGACACTGCAGATCTTGATTTATTACGTTCTTGAAGCCACAACCCTTAATCCCTGTTCCTGTGACAGCAGAAGAAGGACCAGAGGGTCCTTGGAGACTCTGAGTGGCTGCCTTTGGGGTTATGTGATCTGGTGCTGGACAATAATAAGTAATCCCAGAGGCTGTGCCGCTCTCCGTGCGGTGGTGGGCCAGCAGCAGCTCTGGGTCCGAGTCACGCTTTCCGTGTCATCTCCGTCTGTTACGTTCCAAAGACTGGCCGGGGCATCCTCATCCTCCCGCGGGGAGCAGGGCCTGGACCGAATCCTCGAGGCGCTTTGGAGCTGCCTTGGTTTTGGTTCCAGTGCGCTCCCGCTTAATTAATGCTTCACAACAAAGCCGGGGTCCCGTGAGCCGCGTTTGCAAAGCAGCGTGACTTCAGCAAACCAAGCACCTCCTCTGCACCGCGCAGAGCGGGTTCGGCCGATCCCTCTGCCTGTGCTGAACGCGCCGGTCGCCCCTTTGGCTGCTCGCAACAGCCAAACCCTTCGCCCAGCTTTCGCAGCCGGAGCTGGAACGGGGCAAGGCTGGATCCTGTTGTGTGGTTTGGGTTTTCTCTGGGCAGGGCTGTTGCTCCGCTGTTACGTCCTGGCTGTCGTGCAGTGCGCGCTGGTGCCACCAGAGAGAGCCTTGCCTTCATTCTGCGCGGTGCTGTCCCTGGCCAGCCTGTGGAACGTTTTTTCTTCGAGGCTCCTTGGCTCCCTTGCATAGCTGGTGTCGATGTGTTTGCCCGGACCCTGTGCAGGTTGTGGTTCGCAGGGGCGAGTGCTGGCCTCCCCCGGTGAGGTCTGGAAGGGACCTGGCCCGGGAGCACGGCTTTTGCTGCTCGCGATCTCTGTAAACCCAACAGGGCCGGCACCCATCGCCGCGGCCGAGGAGGGAGAGCGCGCCGCCGGCCCTGGGCTCGTTTTCCTCCTCGTGAGCGTCCTGGCAGCGGGAGAGACGGGAGCCAACCGTCCCGGGGAAGCCGCGGCGAGGCCGGGGAGCTGAACCCCCGGTGCTGCCTGCGCTCCCCCGCGGCGCGTCCCTGGGGTGGACGCTGGTCCGGGGAGGGAGGGGGTTCGTGCTGAAGGGGTTAATGCAGCTCCTTGCGTTGGTTAATACAGTAGAGCGGCCATTGACTGACCGAACAGGAAAGTTTGCAGCAGATTGCCAACAGCTTCCTCTCCTAATCCCTGCACCAAACAGATTGTACTGTGTCTCCTCGAGAGGAAGAGCCCGGAGTGGGGCGTGACCTCCGTGTGCTGTAACAATAAACGATCTCGAATGGTTTCACCGATTCCTCTTCCAGCCTCGTGTTTTCACAGTAAATGTTTTGGACAAGCAAGAGTTGCCTTCCTCCTCCCTCCCCTTCTTACTCCCTGCTCCTGGGAGAGATGGGGGCAGGGAATTTCAGAACAGGCTCCGTGTGTAATAGAACAACAATCCTGTTTGCCCGGATGGCCCGGGAGGGCTCCTCGGTGGCTGGCAGCAGCAGTGCCCTGACGGCCGGGGCACGGCCCGCGGGTCAGGTACGGGGGGGCTGGAGGGGCGTTGAAGAGAGCCTGGATGTTCTCTTGTTGCTGCGAAGGCAGGGCAGCCCCCGTGCCTGCCCTCCTCGCCAGCGGGCCGGGAGCCGGGGGGCTGTCAGGCAGACACCCTTGGGGCTACCCCGAGAAAGGGCTTAGGGGGAAAGGGCTCTCCTGGAGGCAGGAGTGGGGGCTGGGTCCCAAGGTGGGGCGTAGCGCAGCGTCACCTTCCCCCTCGGTCCCCGAGAGCGACGCTGTGGGTGCGGGACAAGGGACCCTCACCCAGGATGTCTGAGCCCCCGGCTGGTGTTT